TGAAAAACTTTCAGGGGGCCGTACGCGTTACCCGTCGGTACGGGGAAGCTGAATTTAAATTTGCGGGGTCACACGTAGGTGGGGAACGTTCCCTTAAATTTTCAGCTTCCTAGCTTTTGTGGTTCCCGAGTTGAAAGTTGCGGTGGGGAACGTTACCCTAAATTTTCAGCTTCCTAGCTTTTGTGGTTCCCGAGTTGAAAGTTGCGGACAGTCACACGTGGGTGGGGAACATTACCCTAAATTTTCAGCTTCCTAGCTTTTGTGGTTCTCGAGTTGAAAGTTGCGGACACTGCTGCGGACACACACACACACAAACACACACACAGACAACCCCGTAACAATATGCGTTTTGTACTGCTGTTACACAATACAAAACGTATAATAAGTCATATTGGCAAGAGCTTGTCTGTGTTTGTGTTCGCACTTTTTGTCACCCACTTTCAACACAAGGACCAGAAAAACTAGAAAGCTGAAACTTCGGGTGTATGTGCCCATTCCATGTGCTATCCTCTCGTTTTAATAGCATCATCCGCATACGCTTCAGTCCCACGTATGGATACCTCAAAAAATATGCAAGTTTTTTGGTGGGAGATGATCTCGAGAACTAGAAAAGATTGAAAGCTGGAATTTTATAGAGATGTTCTATGTTCTAATATTTCAAATTCAGCTTTAACGCACCCATACATGTCATGTATGAACACGTCAAAGTTATCGTTGGCAAAATGCCAGTTCAGGAACTGAGATAATTAGAATTGTTCTAATTTTACGAGAATATTTGTCTTCCATAATTGGGCATGTAGACGCGAAATTCCTAACATATCATAACTTGCGACACTGGTATACGCCAGTGTCGCGAGTTCCGATATTTTAGGAATTTCGCGTAACGAAAGCGATTTTGCCAACCAGACAAGTTAGGGAGCTTAAACTTTTCGAAATATTCTACGCCTGTGTGTATCCGCAATATTTCAATTTGAGTTTTTAAATACGCCCAGGTCTCGCATTTTCCCCAAGCGAATGTTTTGTGCTGGACACTGTTGGCGCCCAAATAACTCGGTAACCAGAATGAGAAGGAAGCAATATTTTTCTAAAAGTGTTTGCTGCTCGTGTGCGAACCTTCAAACGTAAGATGAACTTCTGCCTAGGCACGGGCCTTGCGTATAGGCACATCAAATGATCAAATTACAACAGTGTAGTTACACTTTAATAGTACAGACGATCTCACTATAGAATAAAATCATGCAAAAATACATAATCGCGTCAGTAAGCCTGGTGCCTCGCAGTGTGGATCTTGCTGTAGTATTTTTGTTTATCCCGTCATCTAGCCACTGTGCAGGGTTGCAACATTATGTGGTGAAATTCGGTGGACAGAACACTTTTTTACTTATTAGGGTTTGTGGACGTCGAGATCAGCTACTTATTGAGCGGGAAATAGTCTATTTAAACGGTTTTTCAGTAGGTTCCATACGTGGCTAATGCTTGACAGCTGGAAAGAGTTAATCCCGGGCCGAAGGACCAGGAAAAGCCGTGATCAGTAATACTGGTGGTAACTTAAAAAGAGTGAGGATCGAAGAAAGACTGTAAAAATTAGTAAAAGTGAAAAAGCTGAATTTCATTGTTAATACATTAGATGCCTCTCCTTTTATTTATATTACGATTAATATTTAGGAGCCTTTTTATACATTAAAGGTTAAAAGAAAACAATGAAAAGGATTTCAAGATAGATAAGGAGTATATAAAAATTTTTGTTATAGTTTTATTATAGGTAAGAAATGTTTCGGTCCATTAAGGTAAGAAATGTTTCGGTCCATTAAGTCGTATACACATATGATTAATATCACGATTTTATTTTTATTGTAACGTGAAGATTTTTGTTATAACATGGAAATTTTGTTGAAGATGCGGGCATTGGTGCTGGAATCGATTCATATTACGAATACTGCTTGAAGGCGTATATTTTACTCGGTGATGAGGATTATTTGTACCGTTTCAACAAGGTATTTATTCTTTTCCACACATGCTCAAAGAAAAGGTGCTAATGGAGTAATTATAATATTGATCTTAGTAACAATAATACTTTAATAATCGCAATAATGATAACAATGATAATAATAATAATAATAGTTGTAATAATAGTGATAATAGTAATAAAAATAATGATCAAAATATTAAATGGAAAAATAGCAAAATTAATAATATGACGAAACAGAGTAATAGCAAGTACCTTATTCCTCATAATTTTTTGGAGGCATTATGAGGCTTTTCAATTATGTTTTCAGCATTATGAGGCTATTATGAGGTATGTCAACAAGGGGCCCCTGTTTATTGATGTGCATATGCATAAACCAACAGTAGCAGCTAGGACATACATGGATTCGTTGTTGGCGTTTTGGCCTGGAATACAGGTGCTGAAGGGCGATCTGAAGGCGGCAATCGAGTTCCACGAAACGCTTTATCAGGTCATCAAGGTAGGACTTCTAACATATTACTACAGTACCGCATCCTATGGTGGTTTTGCAGCATTTTCTCGCATAATGAGTTTTTCAGAGGCACAAATTTCTCCCAGAAGCGTTCACGCATGACTTGCAAGTTCACTGGGCCGAGCATCCAATTCGTCCTGAATTCATCGAAAGCACATACCTGTTGTATCGAGCAACCAAAGATGAGCACTATCTTCGAGTGGCCAAAGACGTATGTTGACATAACGTGCTTTAATTTATCTGTGGCATACTGGTTTTGTGACTAACTTATGTTTATGGACTTGTTTCTCCGTGTTCTTAAGCTTTTTTGCTGTTTTCCAGGTCTCTCTTGGTACTGTTCCTTTTTGTGGGTTTTTTATTTTTTATGGTTTTTTTTATTGATTTTCTAATTTTTCCTTTTTTTGCATATCTTTGGATTTTCAATCTCTTTGATTT